TGAAATCCTGGTGACACTAACGGGTACCGCAGAAATCTAGAGAGGAATACGTCATCGCCCACTGCAACGTCATCACATTATTTATCTTTATAAGGCAAAGTCTGGATGTTTTTTTTTCCCAAGTTTTATCATATCTGATACAATCACATGTATATTTACTAGATCTAACTAAATTAGCTTTGCATTTGCCTGGCAGTCATTTGCCCGACAAAAAAAGGATAACTTTGAAATAATGCTGGTAAATATTTGTCGGCCAAATGAACTGTCGTATGTCGGGGGTCACCTAAAGCGGGGGTAAATCATGTGATTTATAAAACACCAATTATAATTATTAGATTAGTCATTACATCAAAATCCTAATACTAAAGGATTGTGACCTGTCAACATCACCCATCTCTTCAACAGACCAGTATCGATCACGTATCCTTTCAGTTAATTCAGCCTTCGATTTTCAGCTCTTTCTTGTTGTTTTATTTGCACGCATTCTATAAAAGATTCCCGACTTTCGTATACCTCCATGAGAATTAATCAGAAATCTTAACCCACATTTTGCCATACATAATTGTTCAATAATTTATTGCCATACATACGTTCATGAAAAATGTACTTGCATGATAGTAATATCAATGGTAAAATAAGCAGTGACAATCAAGAGAGATTAGACCTCTATTTCCACTAAATGTCTGATAGCTTTTGACCGTTTATCCTATCGACTTCTAATAAAGTGTGCATATAGTCGGGAGTTTATAACGTTCTACTCGAACTATATTTAAAGAACTATCTTTAATCTTCGCAAGACATAATCCGGGTTCCGTATCTCGGTTATTCGGCGTTTTTCATCTTGGGATATTGATTTGCGATGCTTCACAAAGCGACAGACAAAAGTATTCTGAATATCACCATTTACATATTCGTACCAGTCCCATTTCGTCCAAAGATTCGAAACTAGTGGTCACCAGTTATCGTCAAAATCCTCTGTTGGAGTTTCCAGAGAACAGTTTACATAAAAAAAAGATTCCGCTTTTGTTGTCGAGATTGTTGTTCCAGTCGTGAAGACTGCTGGGATTGCTGTTGATTGTGTGGAGTAACATAGGGATGATGTCAGTGATGCAGTCGTAAGTCATGATTGTGAGCTATTGATTAGTATAACTGCGTCTGATGTTGTTGATTCATGTTTATGTTCCATAGGATTCTGTATAATAGAGCGTATACTATGCTCAAGGAAGAACGCACGAAGGGCGGAGGGGAGAATAAGGGTGAGGTGCAACAGTCGTATGAGATTTATGACGCTACAGCTGAAGGAGCGCGACATGACAACCGACAATAAAAAAAATGAATTGCGCAATCAGCCACAAATAATCGTTCGATACTCCGAGAAATTCCGCCAAAAGTGTCGGGCAAGTGAACGGCTCCCCTAAAATTATGCCTAGTTTGTAATCTTCCACATCTCTCACATTTTGGAAATTCATATTTCAATATTAATGTTTCTCCTCAAGTTCTCACAAATAAACCTAACTTTTACCCTGCAAGCAAATTATCTTTTTCTTTATCACCAATTACTTAAATTGTCAAAAAATTTTTTGCTTTACTTTTGCTTTAAATTGCTTTCTTCCTTAGTATTATATATTAGTATTCATTAGGTAAAAGATGCAATTTCTTATTAAAAATATGGCTCTGTCTTCTGAGCCTTCTTCTCCACTATTACTATCTTATTAGCTGCTTCCAAACTTGACTTTAACTGCTTAATATTAACTTTTTGTTATAAATTAACAGTTTTTAATTTTTTTCTCAAGTAGTTTACTAGACTGTTCTGCCTTTAATTTGCCTCTTTTACTTCCTCTTTCAAATTTTAATTTAAATTTTTATTTTTTTTCCAGTTAATTGCTTTTTAAGGTTTCGATTATTTTGAGTTTTTTGCTTTAAGGTTTCTAAATTGTCTATCATAATTTTTATTTTTTATTTTATTTTTTAATAAGACTAAGTCCTTTTTATGAGAATATATTAAGTATATAATTATTTCAATATATTTTTTTATTTAAGCTTTAAAATTCAAAGCGAGAAAAAATAGTGAAATATTAGACAGACACAGTAAGAAAATTAACGAGTATTGAAATACATGGAGAAGATTTTAGTCTACATATTTAATCCATGCCTGTATAATTTGGTCTTGGACAAGTAATGTCTTTAAATTCGTCTCTAACAAATGGACAAATATATGATAAAATATCGCCATAAACGGGTGGTATTATACCATTTCATTGCTAGATGATGTTAACATATTAAGATACGTTTTTTGACACAGAGATCTCAATAGTAAAAGTTCTCTTATTAGTATATCTTGTTCGGATTTAGAGAGACAAACCATCGATGTGTAAGTTTTATATATAGGATTACTTGTATATGAAAAATAATGAATATAGTGATTCAAGCGAATGTGAAAAGCAATACTTTTCTTAGAGATAGGTTGTAATACGTGGAGAGTTCAAAAAGTTTTGACGTATAAAACTTTTTAACTGTTCCATTCCTTCAAAGTATTAACCTTTGTCAGCCTTCTACGCCAACTCTGAAAGCCCTCAGAATACCCTTCTATTAATTTTATAAAAAGATCTTGAATTCACTTGAACACTTTCCATTAAGCTCTTATTTAATTTTTGAAAATGGAAAAGTCGCACGGGAGCACCATAAAATGGCGAGGAAGCGAGATGGCCATTCTTCTAAAAAATACTTAGTGATAACTTTGACTTGCAAAGTGATTTTAATACTCCGGTTAAGATAGGAATGCTTAATATTAATATGGGGGTCGTTGTTAACATGTCTTCAATAATATTAATGTTCGAAAGTGTAACGGCGTCGCGGAATATTCAGAACGGAAGGTCCATCTTTGATGCTTGATTGTCCGGCTCTGAATGCTTCAATTCAGCAGTAAATAGTACGTTTGAATAGTGTTTATTCCCTCTAACAGTGATTACCTCTCTGTCGTTCTGCCAGCACACCCAAGATTATCTTTGGTTTCGCGAATAAGGTTTTCCAAAATTGGGCGTGACTGGAGCTTTAATATGGTTATTTTTACTTAGCGAAGGTAATCAGAGGTGCTGAGATAATTACACTGTCAAAAAATTTTGAATCCGATTAAAATAGAATTTTAATTCAAAAACTTAGCAAGAGAATGGTTTAATTTATGCCATACTGTAAGCCATACGTCATATATCTTTTTATTGAGAAATTCATCTTCTAGAAGCTTTGTGGCAAAGCCCACCGCCGTTATTTTAATAAATTGTTCCGATCACATTCATATACGTATATAATATACTGTACAGTATATCAATAATTAAACCACAAGTCCTTTAACAAGCATTATAACAATAATATTGTCAATGATACTGCTAATGGTAAGAATTAATCTCTTTGTTGCGATAAGTTGGCAATTCTTTGAATGAATCAAGTTTGTTTTTTTCAGTTATAATAACGCAAAAGTGATATACTTGAACTTTAAAGAAAAGTCGGATTTTATTTAGTAATATACAATTATTTTTAAAACTAATACAAAAAGTGTACTACAAACTCGACATTAAAATTTCACTACCCAGATTCTATATCAACTCAAAAGTCAAAATATTCATTCTCTTTGAACCCAATCTTCAGCAAATTAGGAATACAGCATCGTTGAATCATTGGAGGCGGGCCACACATAAGAACAATACTTTGCCCGCCCTCCTCAGGTGCAAACAAATTGTTACGTATCATGTCCTCATTTATATACCCAGAACTATATTTCCAATCACTAGGCGGCACATCTAACGTGTACCACACCTTGACATTATTATGCTTTTTAGCAATATCATCCAATTCATCTCGAAGCAGGATATCTTGCTCAGTTCGGTTTGCATACAGCAGCGAGACTTGAGTGTCGTCATTCTTATCTTTGATGATAGCATGTATTATTTGATAAATAGGAGTAATCCCGGAACCACCAGCTATCAATCCAATCTTTTTACATGATCTCCGAGATACTTTGGTGCCCTCTTTTATTTCATAATTTCCACCACTAACGTATACGAATTGACCGAGCGGACCTTTGATGTCGATCGTCTCTCCTATTTTCATCTTCTCCAAATGCTGTGTCATTAATCCACCATTAGGAAACCTGGGATGGACGTTAGCAAAGTATACTTTTATCAATAGTTCAAAATATCCAGGACTGTCTTCAGGACGCGTAATTGGCGTGTAAGCTCGAATGACATTTTTGCCATCGACCAATCCACGGATAAATACGTGATTCCCAGGCGGAAGGCCAAGCTTTTGATCTTTCGACGGCAGCGCAAAGCGAAAGATTCGGGTGTCATGCGAGAGATGATTCTTGGAGATTAGAGGACAAGGAAGCCAGAGCCTCGGGTTTAGAGCAGTCGAATTCGAAAGAGACGGCTGGATGGATAGAGCAGGCTTTGGTGTAACAAGCGGTGCCGTGGATGGAGCGTTATTCTCCGTTATCAGATTTCCGATATAATAATCTGCTAGCATGTTTCTCGCCTTTTTGGAATGTATTGCATTGAATTCGTCCGAACAATTGGTCCCAGCGTTAATAACAATACTATCTGCGCCACCAGGATGCTTATCCAAGAATTTGGTGCAATCGTAGACTTTACCATCGACAACAATCCAACAGTCTTCTTCGTTATCGTGCTTTGCAACTTCACTCATTGTTATGCTTTTTGCCGTTCCGTTGGATGCATTGGTATTATTGACAACGCTCACTTTTTCTACTGCTGTGGTATCCACACGCTCCCTATTCATCCATCCGCCAACCTGGTTTCCCGGCAGTGTCGGGTGCTCAAACGATACCACTACATCCTTATTTTCTATCTTTGTATGCACTTTGACTTTGAAATAACAATTATTCATCATACCCATGACGTTCCATGTCAAATCTCTCGGCTGAGTATTCTGCGCAGCATCCCATGCTCTGACCCATATTTCTTGACATTTGAGCAAGGACATAAAATCAACGTCCAATTGCCAAAAGCACCAACACCAGTGTTTGCGAACAGGATTATGACCACGAGCGAGAACCAGCGGGTGAGTCAGTTCGGGATGGGTAATAGTGGTGAGTGACCAGGTTTGTCCTTGGTCGAGAGAAATCTCTACACGCGTGATTTTGCGACCGCCGCCGGAATATGCGTACCCACGGAGTTTGTAGGAAGATGTGCTGACAAAGGATGAGAGGTAAATTTTTTCATTATGGGCCGGACTGCTAATTGCAGAGTTGATGTTCAGTTCGTTTATAATGTAATCTGGGATATACCACCAGTTTTCTTTGTTTGCTCGTTCGCTGTCGACGTTTGGTGGGAGCACTCTGTTATCGTGGTAATGATAATAACTGTCCGACTCGCGATCGGCAACCGAGATTTTTCCCAACCATTTTACCATCCGCCCACCAATAGCTCCGGGTATGATGACTCGCAAAGGATATCCATGATCAGGTGACAATGGTTCTCCATTCATCTCGTATGCTAAAATCACGTCCATTGCATCATTCATGGCCCATTCTAAAGTTAGGCTAGTTCCATAGTATCCATTGGGTAGAACGTCGACTCCATGGAACCAGACATAGCGTGGGGAGTCGGCAGTAACGTCATCAAGCGAGACACCGGCAAGCTTGAGAATGTGCCGTAGAGGAACACCCTTCCAGACTGCCGTTGAAACTGCTGCTGCGCCCCAGCTGAAACCGATCGATTGTTTGACCATGTTTTGTTCTTTCCGACGGTTTCCAGCGCATACGAGCGTTACGGGAATTAAGCGGGATGGCATTGCAGCGAGTTCGTCCATAGAGAAACTTAGCGTCTTTTTGACCAAACTGAGGAGAAAGTTTAAATCACGTGATTAGATTATATAAACATGAACGACGTGATTGATACATGCGAACATGCTTTTCTCATACACTTACCCTTCAATAACCAAGCGATGCGTCTCCCGTTGTAAATGAGGCACTGGCCCGTGATTACGTACGTAATGTAGTGAAGTGGGAGTAAGAAAACCTTGTTCCATTAATTGAGTTAGCGGTGGTTCGCAGTTGAATGGATGTTTGCCGGTAAGACGGACAAGATTAGGGTGTCGAGGAATCCACTTGTCGGGAGTATTGGCATCACGGGGATCGATCGCCGTTACGGGTATTGAGCGAGCATATATGGGCTTCTTTGATGGTGGGGAAGATGAGGGAGTTGTATAATGTTGCTGTTGGATATTCGGTTTAGCAGATAGAGGAGAAAGGACAGCTGGTTGCGTTGAAATTGTTGCCATTTTCTCCGAGTTTTACAAATGTAGTGTGGTAATATGATACGATGGTATATTCGTAACAGAGATATTGAGACAAAATAATTTACGTAACAAAATGACTATGGCAGTAAAATAATTTCAAATGTTATTCCAGTTTTGCGTATTTTCTCACTTCTGCAAAGCGGAAATCAAAATTGGATGTAATCTATTTAAATGTATTGACACGTGAGTTGATAACGAAGATAGAGCAAGGATATTGTTTATGAAATGATCGGAGAGGATCGACAAGTGAAAGGTTTAGAGTTATTAAAAGAACGCCCGGGTGCAACTGGAGTGTACAAGGCAAGGGTGAAACAGGATTGCTCTGTAATGTGATTGACGATCGATAAGCATACGCGGATTTAATACAACATTGTTCTTTTCAGTTGGAAATTGCAAGATCGAAATTGATTAGTCTTTGATAGCTGTTCTATCATGCACACTATTCTGCATTTAGCTTATCTCATTTATTCTGTTTCGCCCCAATCGGCTCGGTTCGCTTCTTATCGTGGCGTCTTGTGAACACGAATTTAACAATAGTATTAAATGAATTTGGTTCATTACGTAATGAGTAATTATGAACCTTAGAATTCACAATATATACGCGAGTGATCTTTATTAAGTATTACACGGTTTCGTTCTTTGGCTAATTTGAATGAATGAGTGCATTGCAATGCATTGTAACATAAACAAAAACCAACATGGGAATTGCTTGAGATTATAGAATTTTTTTGGGGGGCATTTAATAAAGAATGCAGGTGTATTAAAAATGTAATAGAGATAAGAGGGGGATGTGCTGCAAGGTGAAACGCAGTATACTGAATCGTACGTAACACGGGTGGGCGTACATACGTGTATCGTAATCATGATGTTTTGATAAGTTTTAACGGTGTTTCGAATAGTTTAATTTTGAATGAGAATTTTTTATGGTAAGAATTGACCAAAAAAACGTGTGATCTTCGTCTGGTGTGGCGTCAGTGTGACAAGCACATGAAAAGTGAACCAATAACACACTTATGATAGACACTACATTACACTCATTACACAGCAGCTGCTGTGAAATGTTGATAGGCAATTGTTCCATCAACATCCGGTGTAG